CTCAACAATAGATGTCAATGGAGAAAACACATTTGAAGTAATATTTCTTTACAAATCCCTCTGCCCTAAGACACCCTCCCTCCACGGAATTTCATTTCACGCCTACGTAGTGCAAGCAAAGATCTTTTTGCCTTTGCCAAACATGTTTCATCTGTGATTTCATTAATATTACGATTAATAATTGACACAGAAAGTAGTGCATCATGGAAGTGTGAACCAAAAATGAAGAAACGTAAGCTAATTTGAAGCACTGGAGCCTTCAGGTGAAGAACTGATGTAAAGAAAGGGGCACCAAGACAGAGGTGGGGTATGTACTGCCAATGCATTTGTTTTTCCCATTTCGGTTTGCTCAGACTATCTGTTGTTCTACTTAATAATAAAAAAGAAAGAAAGAAAAAAAACCCACAAAAGCCAAGATATAGAAGCCACTGAAGTGTCCATCAATAGACGACTGGATGAAGATGGGATGTATATGCACAGTGTATTACTCAGCCATAGAAAGGAATGAGATCTTGCCATTTGCAACAACATGGATGGAACTAGAGGGTATTACGCCAAGTGAAACAAGTCAGAGAAAGACAAATACCACATAATTTCACTTATATAAGGGATCTAAAAAACAAAACAAGTGAACAAACAAAAAACAGACTTTACGTAGAACAAACTGGTGGTGGCCAAAGGGGAAGGGGGTGGGGATGAAATAGATAAAAAGGTTTAAGAGGTACAAACTTCCAGTTATAAATAATTAAGTCATGAAATTGAAATGTAGAACACAGGGAATACAGTCAATAATATTGTAATAACATTGTGAACACTGAGTAATGTGTAGAATTGTCCAATCACTATGGAAAACCTAAAACTAATACAACACTGAATGTTAATTTGACTTCAATTTTAAAAAGCAAACAAAACAAAACAAAACAAAAACTAATTTCTGTATCCTCTAGCATAATTTAAGCTCCAAAAGGTTGGAGATTTTAGTGAAAGTAGGTAACTATTTTATTCCCATTGCTAACCATGTAGTAAGTACTCAATAAATATTTACTGAATGAATAATAATTAAAAAAAAGACTAATGACTTTGAACCAATTAGCACATGATTCAAGAGCTTCCGGTGGAGAAGGGGTTTAAGAAGATTCCAATTTTCCTAAAGAGTTTTTAATGCATGGGCATTTCAGGATGACAAAGGGAAAGAAGTGGGAAAGGTCAGGATTGCAGGTAGCCTAGAGCAAGGGTAATCCATGCAGCATGCAACCATCCACAAAGTCCCATTTCAGCTCAGGGTGTGGACTCCCCTGCTGGAAGCCGGAACTCCTACCTGCTAAATTTGCCTGATGCTCTCAGAATTCTTTCCACCCACTGTAAAGCTTGAAGTGAGGAAGTGAGAGGTCCTCAGAGCTGGCAGACAAGAGGAAGCCTCTTTGCCATTCCTGCTCAGGGGACTCCACAGCAAGCAGATCTGTTCTAGAAAAGGTGCTCACCTCAGGGTCAGACTCCTTGGCGTTCTTGGAAGAGCATTTTCTCTTCCTTCAAATAGGCTAAGTGGGGGGTAAAAAGGGCTTGTTCCAAGGACAGAGTTACTGTGGTTCAAAACACTTCAGGAATTTCTAGGACTTGCTAATTACTGAGTTTATACTTTGTTTTTGAGCAACTTAGGAGCTTGGCAACCAATCAGAAGTAGCACCAAGGTACTCTTGGTTGTTTCCACAATCAACAGCCACACTGGAAGAATGAAGTTTGCCACATATGACCCCTTGCTAGGAGCACATCTCCAGGAGGACAGGTCCTCTTCCCCAGGCCCAGTGCCTCCTTCCTCCCCTTACCTCTGGGATCCATCCTACCTCCCTCTCCTCTTTGTGTCTGCCATCACTTCTTCTTTTCCTCTGGTGGGTTTCTCTTCTCTAGGTAAACTGCAAGCAGGAATGGATCCTTTTGCCTCCTGCCCAACCCTTTCCACTTTCCTTAATTGTCCTTGAATTATTTTCTTTTTGAGCAATGTTTTTTCGTACAAGGAAATAAGCTATGTGCATTAAACAAATCTACATTTTACAGATTGTAAAAGTCACATAAAAGTATCTTAGTAGGTATTTATGGCTTCGTTTTCCTGGTGCATCTATGTAAATGTCCAAAACAAGAAGCAGGTTTTGGAATCAAGTCTTTTGATCTTCTTCTTGGATTCCTTTATTCCTGAATGTGGTAAGGAACCTTCCTTTGCTTTGCCCATTCTGCCCTCACGTTTTATCACAGGTTCTTTACATCTCTATGAAGAAGTTTGCAGCCTAGGGCAGGGGTCACCAAAGTACAGCCTGCAGCCTGCTTTTATAAATGAATTTTTATTGTAATACAGTCACACAGTTTTTACCTCTGGTAGACACCAGAGATAATCCACTAGGGAATAAAAGATGGTTTGTAATTATTAGACCAATGGAGTGATCCCATGCTCAAGAGGGTCATGAGCATGTCAGGACCATTCCAGAAGGATGTGGTTTCTCCATATCGTAGTGTCTCTCTTTTCTCTAAGAAGGTCAGATGATGTCAATTGATAAAGGGCAATCTGTTGGGATTTTCTAGAATGTTTAAGCAATGATATAGTATTACTGGAAAAGGTCCACAGGACCCAAGTGGGTCTACACATTTTGATGTTAAATTTCTTCTTTTTTTGCTGTTAAAGATATTAAAACAGAATGCTGTAGTTCCTCCTAGAAGTTCCCAGGATCCTCATATCCCTTTTATAAAAACAAAGCATTTTAAGTAAACTTTCAGAAAATAAGAAACATTTCTCTTAAAAGTGGAGATGCTCTACAAAACACGAAAGGGGAGAAGTGGATAAACTGGTAGCACATTATCTGACTCAAAAAAAGATGCTCATGGCTGTGCCAAATCATCTTTTTCTTAGTAAGTCACACTGAACAAAAAAAGAAGATAAATCACCATGAAAATGCAAGCGAGCTGGTAATAATAGCCTAGTTATAGCCGCCATGAAATAGTCATTAAGTTATATGCAGCATAAATCTCACAGAGTTTTGTAAATTATGGTGGTTTTTAGAAGCCAAATAAAGATAAACCATACAAACTATGGCTGCTTTTCTCTGTGCTCCTTGGCATGACTTTCTAAAATGCTTAAGCTCAGGGGCGCCTGGGTGGCTCAGTTGGTTAAGCGACTGCCTTCGGCTCAGGTCATGATCCTAGAGTCCCGGGATCGAGTCCCGCATCGGGCTCCCTGCTCAGCGGGGGTCTGCTTCCCCCTCTGCCCTCTTCCCTCTCGTGCTGTCTCTCATTCTCTCTCTCAAATAAATAAATAAAATCTTTAAAAAAAAACAAAATAAAATGCTTAAGCTCAGGCTCATAGGACCATATGGTTCTTGAAGCATCTGAGAAAGCATAAAGGTTCACAACTCCGTTAAGACCCCTCTTTCACTTTTTGAAGGTGATCATTCCTAACCAGCCCTTCCCTGCACTCTTGCCTGGTTTGGCTCACACTGAGGCTGACAGGCTTCCAGCTCAAGCCTTACACTTCAAGCTGCTCCTGTTTCCAAGGCATACTGGAAGAGCCGGTGAGGGAGATGGGTGGCGCTTGCAGGCTGAGCTGGCTGCTGGTGGTTCCAGCCAGCCACCTCCACTCCGGAGACCAGCCATAAAATCAAGCTCTCTGCCTTCCTCCGTAGACCAGCACATTAGCAAAACTCAGATTCAAAGATGCCCAGTAAAATGTTCCTTTTCCTCCTTTTTGGAGGTTGGTGGTAATCCCCAGTTGATCTTTCCTCTCAACTGCTTTTTCCCCCTGCTATTTAAACTGAATTCTTATTGCTCCAAATTAAATCCATTCTTTCTGGCCTTGTCATTGCTAACTAATGAGAACAATTCCTCTCTTTGCTCCTGGTAGCTGCACTTTGGGTGCTTATGGATGAGAATCATATCCTTCTTTAGCCTACTTTCCTAACTGCAGACTGCACAGGTGATAAAATGGGTTAATTGTTGCTATAAAAATATTTTCTATCCTCATAATGAAGTAATTTTTTCCTCCAAATCATTTTAATTTCTTAGAATTGCACTGTGTTCTTAACAATCTGCATTGACTGAGGTTGCAGTCCTATTGGGCTTATATATACAAACAAAATGTTGGATATACAATATACATGAATCTAACAATTCTGGGTTATTGTGCTGTTTCCCTTTTGCCCCACCCACCCTGGCCTTGGTTTTTATCACATGCTTTTTACACGTGTACGAGGAAGTTTGCAGCCTAGGGTAGGGGTCATCAAAGTAGAGCCTGCAGCCTGCTTTTTTTTTTTTTTTTTTTAAATAGATTCCATGCCCAGTGTGAAGCCCAGCATAGGGCTTGAATCCACAACCCTGAAATCAAGACCTGAGCCAAAATCAAGAGTCAGATGCTTAACCAACTGAGCCACCCAGGCCCCCCTGCAGCCTGCTTTTATAAAATAAATTTTTATTGGAATATAGTCACACACATTTCTTAAAAACATGTTATCTATGGCCATTTTCACATTATAATGGCAGAGCTGAGAGTCTGACAGAGATTGTATCACCTGCAAAGCCCAAAATACTTGCTTATCTGGCCCTTTACAGAAACACTTTGCTGACCTCCAGCATAGGAGGTTATTACCACCCATGTGCGCTTTGCTACTTGCAACAGGTGAAGGCAAAGTACCAGGTAAATCTCTTATTTACACCTAGGCAGTCTGCTAAACGTTGCATGACAGGTCAAACCACACAGGTGAGTGGTTTGGGTGTCTGGACTGAAAGAGTTTTTCATTTTTTATCCCCGAAGTACCCCATGGGCATCAGGTTCACGTCTAAAGGGACAAACGAGGCTTGACACCGGGGCTAGCCCTGGGATACAGCTCCAACACACCTAGGCAATTTTTATAATCATGTGCCTCTTTGCCGAGCCTATCTAGAATGTTCCGCTGCGTTAATCTGGCTCACCAACTCACACCAGCAGGAAGACAAAGAAATCCAGGCCCAGGCCTGGTACTCACTATGTGAAGCTGGAGGAAATCACCGAGGCCCGGAGCACTGTCGATCCGCACCAAGATGCCATCCTTCACGGTGGTGCTGAAGCCCACGGCGAGGCGGTCAGAGCGCGTGCTGGGCCGATCATTGGCTGGCCAGGTGTAGAGGATGAGGCCTCCGCTTTTCCCAAAGATGTACGTAGCGCCAGCTGTGAAAGCAAGGAGAGAGGGAGCCATCAGGGCATGTACCGTGCATCTGCAGCTGCAGGCACGCTGCGGAGGCTCTACACAGACCGCTGCGGAGAGGAGACGGCCCCCACATGCCGGTATTTGCTTACTGAGAGGGATGGCAACCAAAGTCTCGCAAGGCGGCTGTCACCCCAAATTAAAGATGCAGGCAAAATGAATTAATAACAAAGCAGATGTTAGCAAGAGGCATCCCGAACATCTTCAGTTCCTGTGTATAATGGCAGACGGCAAATAACATGCCTTGTCTGAGAGCGTGGGTACGTGGTGACAGACAACTTTCCCGATTTCCTCAACAGCAGAGTTAATTTTCCATCTCGGCTAGGACAGGCATGAGAGAGAAAACTAGTTCCCCCCATCTCTTAGCTCTCAGAACATTCTGGCCTGTGGGGCCAGGAGCAGCTCCGGGAATGCCTCACAAGACGTAAGGTGTAAGTCCAAAGCCATCATTCTTTTCACACCTGGACCTGTGAGCACCCCCACAGAAAAGAAGGCTGGAGCCTGAGAAAACCAAGTTCTGCCTTGGCCTATTTCACTATTATGTTGCTGTAAAATATGTGATAAAAATTAATTCCAGAAGCCTTTTAAAAATTAATTTACTTCCATAGTGATGGTATTTATCTGGTATTATGTAACAGCTTCCCTCTCTTTTCCAAACTCAATTTCAAAAAGGGAGTATAGAAGACATAGAAAAAAAAATCTTACAATGATGAATTTGGAACATAAGTGGTATTGCCACTTATGAATAGTGGATTTATCAGTGTTTTTAGTATTTACCATCTTTTCACTCTTTTTACAAAGCCAGAGATTAGTAAGAATATATTAATTTAAAAATACGTAGAAAACAAACAGGAAGAAAAATAAAGAAAATATTTGCATCTCATAAGTTTTAAAAGTCTGTTTTTAAAAATAGGTTTTAAAATCTAAATTTGGAGGAAACCATTTAGATTTGGTACCCAGAACAGACTACATCATTGTAGTTTCTATGGCTATATGTATGTTACCCATAGTGAGTACTTCCATATGTTACTCATCTCAAAGTTCAAAGAATATTTAGCAGATTTTCTTGTGTGTTCCGACTGCACATGGTCCAATCCTTGAAACTATTTTAAAGCAGCATTAGATAAGCATTCAGATTTCTTCAACTTCACTAAAAATCTCCAGCACTGGTTCACATTTAGTTTACAGGGAATATTGGATTGAATTATGTTGTGTGAAGAAAAAATGAGTTATGCAGCTTATTTAGAAATAATAAAGTCAACTGCTATGAGGCTAGAATTAGGAGTATATGTCATATGTCATCCTTATTTTAAGCACTAAGCCACATTATACTCTGAGGCATATAGAATCTAATCTGTCCTTTTTGAAAGGTCACTATTCTAGTCTCTCCAATATGCTCAGTTTGTATATTACATGTAGTATAACATTATCTTCCTTTTATGAATGTCTCAATCCTAAGGGGATAGTGTCTGAAAAGACCTCCACAGTCATCTGGAGAATTTGGGATTGTGGTATGGAAAGTTTATGATCAATGCTATATGCAAAACAATATCTGTTCCTCACCATCCACAGATACCCTTAATGCTTCTTAAACTTAGAAATGTGGACATAATGATTTACCCTTGATATCTATCCATCTGTGAAGAATTTAAATAATTCCCTTTCCTGTAGATGATTACAAATGTCATTGCCACCCTCTTTATTCTGTATTTGGAAAACTGAAGGTTACTCAGTGATCAATGTATAGAATCACCAAAAATGCAAATCAGCCTGTGACATTTTGTGGCAATTTATAAAATCTTACCCTATTTTATCCTAAATATATAGTGGATTCTGCTACAGAGATAAATCCATACTCTATCAGGAAATAATTTTATCACTTTGTTACAAAAAGAGCAAGTCCAAAGTTGACAACAGCAACACCTATGCGTGGTGTTTTACAGTTTAAAAAAACCCTTTCAAATTCATTAGCTGGATCTTCACAACAGTTCTATGGGATATTTCATTTGTTAACAATGTTTGGAAATAGAGACCCAAGCATCTGACTTACATAAATGGCACCTCTTTAAGTCTCCAGCTTTCCCTCCTGCTTCCAAAAGCCTGTCCTCACCACATGCCAATTATAGCTTAATAAAATTATTCAATAAACTATACCAGTGATGCAAAGTTGACTATACTTTATTCTTTTCACATGTTCCTATAAGACCAAAATGGAATGAAAACAAAGCCATAGCCCCCAAACCTGGCATATTTTCAAAAGCTAGTCTGGCCTTCTAACCATACAAATAAATTTACAAACCTTCTATTCTGCTCATATTTTTTATCCACTGACTGTTCAGTAATTCTCAATATAAAGAATATAAAAAGGAAGAACATTTTAAAAGATAAATACACAATTTCTTATATATAGTGGTTAGGAGGTCATCATGGCTTTAATTTTTAAATAAACAAAGAACAAAACCTCACTATGATAATCTCAAGGTAGATCAAAAATCAGCCTTAAAAATTATTTTGCTTGCTTTTGTTGTTCTGAATTTAGGATGCCGCTATGTTAGATAATTCTAACTTTGTAGATGAAAAGGGCAAAAAAGTACAAAGTCCTTAGCATATTGGCTTATTCTGCCATGTGGAAATAAATCTAAAAATGTGTATCCTTGGTATCGAATTTCCTAGTAAGGGTAAATAAAGACCCTGAATGCTCCCATAGTTCAATGTTGGCTTTAAAGGAAGTTAATTAATATTTACAACTTTCTATTCTGAAAACCTGTTATTTTTTTCCCCTCTTTAGTTAGCTTTGCTATCTTGCATGTGCACTTTCTGTTAATTTTAATATAAAATGCCTAGAGTCCTAGGGGGAACATGGACTTATTTTCCTTTACATTTTCAAATTAAAAAGTTAATTTTGTTATTTTAAAATGTGGATTACAAATCAACATTTGGGGAACATCCTAAGAACTGTAAGAACCCTCCTTAATCCATTAAAGATTTTCATTTCCAAGCCATGCAATACCACATCACATGCTTTCTCCCCTGAGCCTAGTTTCTCTGACTGTTGGTTTCTCGCTGTGCTAAGTATACTGGTGCGAAGATCATACTCCATTTATTAACAATCAGAATGATGAATTTCCTGCTTGCTAGCAAAAAGTGATCAATTCAACTGAAGAAAAACTGCTGTGGTGGCATTCTGACCATTCAACATTGCAGGATTTGCAAGTTTGGAAGCCGCCGAGATTGCTGAGTTCCACCAACAGAGTATTTCAGAAATGAAATCTCCACAATGTCACCATTAACCAAGATATGTATACACACCGTTTTCAGTCAACAAATTTGACATGTTATTTAACACGCAACTTCTTTTGTCTCAAAAGCACCAAAAAATGGGTTTGGCTTATTGTATTTTAATTAGCAAACTATTTACTGTGATGGGGCTGATGGTGATTTTGGCAGAGCCAGGTATGTGAGGGTATGAATATGTATGTTTTGGGGTGTATTCTGTGTATGGAATTGGTTGGGGGGAAGAAGAGGGTAGGACAGGCTCCACTTAGATCATGAAGAAGTCCTGGGGAATAGCTTTATGTAGTTATACAACAAGCTGATTAAATAGATGATCGATGGTTTCTCAAGGACAATAAAAGATAAAATTTTTTCTAGGTCATACATTTCTCCAAGAAATAGTTCTTAAACCTGTGGTGCATATTACTGCTTGTTTTACTAAAATTTAATATAATTATTGATGGCAACTTAACATGTCCTTATTTAGACCATTTGGATAATTATTACTATTGTAGCTTTGACTTCTTAACCTCATGGTCCTGCCATTATGACACTGTTTTCTATTCTTATATCCAAGTAGCATATTATTTCTTTTTGGCAATTACCAATAGAAATAGAATCATAGACCTATTTAGGATTTATATTTGATATAAAAATAATATATACATACATATGTGTATGCATATACATATGTGTATGTGTGTGTAAGAAATAAGGCAAGTTTAGTTAGAAAACATAGTAAACTACCTGGAATTAATTTATTATTTTTCCATCAAATAATTACAGATAAAAGGCTCCAGAAATTCATCTAAATGTAATGTTGCTTGTTTATTTATGTTTTTTAAAAAAGAAAGGAAATAAAGCAAATCAGCTTTCCCTGAAATAGTTTTTGGTTGGTGTTAAAATGGAACAATGCAAGCATCTCCCAGGCGAGACCTGAGAAAATTAAATTTAAAGAGAACTAGATAATTTACTCATGGACAAATATAGCATGTAGAATAATAAGTTAAGTAATAAAATAAATATAATTCTTGCTGTGCAAACCATCTGGTAGGTAAACCAGGGTAAGAAACAAGAAGTCAAACTCTTCCTCCAGTGCTCTTTGAACATTACCTGAGAACTTAGTATAAAATCTCATGACACCAAGGTAATATATCTGTCTTCCTCTATTATTCAGGCCCCTCATTCCTCATTTCTATTGTATTACTCTTTCATCAACCTTATCCACATTTGTGTTCTTTACTGTGAATTGGTAAATCCTTTTGGAAAATAAATGGACTATCAATGACAAAATATATCACGCCTGTAGATGCAGTTATTGCTACTGACTTAAAACTATCTTTTATTCAGATCAATTAACCAGATAGCTAACAAAACCAAAATGGAAAGACTTGGAAATGACACATAGCTCTCCTAGCAAATGGAGACATAAAACTCAAGGATCTCAAAATGACTGGTGGTCTGAAAAAAGAAAAAAAGTTTCTCAATTTCTTTTACTCAGTTTGCTCTATGGTTCCTCTTACACACACTCCTGGCTGTTTCGGGGAGTATTCATCACAGCAGGACCTTCTGTGTTCATAGCACTGAACGATTTTCAGATTGTTTTCTTTGGGAGTACCTCATCTGCTGCCTCTTCCCCCAGTACCGACTGAAGTGTCAATGGCAAACATTTTCGTTCGAATAAAACAGAAAATAAAGACTCAGGAGATTAAGTGACT